GTGTAGAATGCCAGGGAACTACAAAGGATGCAGATATGCGTCACCCCTAAATAGCCTCACATAGCATGCATGGTAGCTACCTTTGTATTTCAGTATTGCGTCATCCAGCAGCTAAGCTCTCCAGCCTGATATATGTGTGGTGTACGTGTAGCATGGGGTCTATGATGTGCTACATCTTACTATGCCACAATCCAATTCAATCAACCAATGGTGTGCTGAGTATTTCTAGGCAATATGTTATTTGAACCCATAATGTGTGTTCTAGGAATCGGTTAGAAGATTCTAAGGCGTAGGCCAAGTACCGCAGTGCAATTGAGATTGTAATACATAGTTGGTGTTCTCGTGAAAATAACTTAGGGATGATATCATTGTCGCCAATACTCTCATTAGCAGGCACGGCTGGCGATACTTCTGACTTTGGATTTCATGTCAATGTGTATCACAATCCACTACAGCGATTGTAGTGGTGCTTAGTGTCGACAACGCTATAATATACAGTTCTTGTATTCTGTTGCCTATGTATAATATGGCAACCTGTGTATGCTGACACATGTGTGTACATTGCTAAAATCTATTGTAAGCCCACATTGCATATAGTAGAAAGTTCGTGATGAGGAAGAGGCCTGCCTAAATGAACTGCTAGAGTTGTAATGCCGCAGTGAAATGACCAAAGAATATCTGGACGCTGAACGCACGCAACAACTCATGGACGTACAGGCATTTCCTTTACAGCTCGTCGTATTTATGAAGTCAACTATGTCATCTGTCGCGAGACAACTATTTCTCTTGCCTCCCTCCATTCCTCTCCAGTCTTTGTTGATTCATAGTAAGTGGAAGATATGTAATGATATAAGTGGGTTTATAGGGCTGAAATTCAAGCATACTCGTCCCTTTTTCATGCCCTAACAAAATTGAACTGGTGTACAGACAGAAACGCTGAAGATAAACAGGAGTGAGGTGATATCATTATCAATAGTTTACAGCTATAGCATCTCTGACCACTTATTCATGACGCAATGTAACGGACGCCTTAGTTTCAAGGAGTCCACTCTAGTCAGATCTAAGCTCACACCTTCGTTCTTGATCTTGAACCTAGCCCAGTCTGCGATTTTGATCATCTCTTTGTTCCCTAGTATACTATCCCTGAAGTTCTCGGCAAAACGTAAAGTTTAGAAGCGATTGTATACAGGTTTTCCATGAGTTGTCGTCTAATTGATCCTACTGTCGCTCAATGTTGTTTGATAAATCTCTCATAGTTGTGCCTTGACAATAAATCCTTTGTAACTTCTATCAAATCATAGTCTAGTAACGTGTAACCAACAACTATTGCTGCCTTCCCACTATGTCTTGACAAATCATTGTTTCTCTATCGTCAATAAGTTTGGCATAGTAGGATCTAATGTATGATTAAATCGTGGATCCTATCTGCATAAAATTCTCGAGCCTGGAAACAACAACGTTTGTGTTCCATACGCATTAACTCATACATCAAAAATGTTACATTGATTAGCGGGCGTATCATTTTGACTCGAGACAAAGCCCAGTATATTTGATACAAGACTTTTACTTTGAATTAAACCTTTACTGCTTATGTAATTAACCTATTCAGGCATGGTTCATTTTAATGGTGACACTTAGTGTTGTGCTCGATTCCATCTTCCACTGGGCCCGTGTTGTTTCGTCTTGCAATCAATGTCTCTTTGCAGTCCTTGGCTAGACGATAACTGGGTTGGACTGGTACTGTTAATTTTACCGCCTTGTTTTCTCGTTTAAGAGGCAATTTCTCAAGGATTTGTTATAACCTTGTTAGGTTTTACTCTGATACCCATTCTTGTCACCTTAAATCCTTGACCCGCCACAGAATTAGAATCTCGAAATTGTCGGATCCATCATTTGTGTTGACGGTTTGCTCTTTGACCGCATAAATGACTTTCACTACAGAACAAGCTTCGAAAAGATCTGGTCTGCTCTCGTGCAAAATTCGTTCCAAGTTTGGCCGGAGAGTTTTCGTTTACCGTTAGATGGCACATCTGTCACGGAATTCCTTGGGTAAATTCATGGTGCGAGCTCGTTTTCAACTCCAATATGTAGTAGGACTGGGTGTTCTTTTTCTAGTGGTATCATAATGAACACTTAGATGGAAGTCTTTCAATGTACTCTATGTATCGGTTTCGCTTGGTTGTTACGATTCGATCAATACGTGTGTTGAGATAGAAGACTTTCAATGTACTCTATGTATCGGTTTCTCTTCGTTGCTACAATTCGATCAATACGTGTATTTAGTACGCGGCTTATACATGTTCTTGATGAATTTCGTTTAAATATCTCTACTGTCGCCTTCCCAATCTGCATTACACCAAACTCAGAATCTATCCTGGTCTGATAAGGTCTGGCCAAAAATAGGTATTGATTGTCCTTGTCATCCCCGCCTGTCTTTCTTATGAAGCATGCATGAATTGCTTTCCAGACTTGTATCCTATCAAAGTCCTCGATCCGCGCTTGTCGGAGGAAAGTTCGAAGTTCAATAGATTCTTTGCTGCTATCCATGTAGTTATGGCGTATCACCTTCTCCTGTCAATCCGCGTGCTTCCTCCTTGAACTAGCATCTCCTGGTGGTGAGGCAAAAGAGATCATTATTTACACCTATGGCTTTCCCAAACTCAACACTTTCCGACACGACCAATTTCGGACTCTTAATGTCGCCGGAAATCAAAGTTGGGAAGTCTTTTAGGTAGCCGTTGATGCCAACAGCAGCGGGATGGGAAAAGTTCCCTGTGTGTTCTCCGGTCATCAAAACTTGCTACAGAAGCATTACTTGTTCTCCGGACATCAAAAGTCGCTGTAAAAGGTATTGAAACTGTTTAGGCAATTTAAAATTGCCGGCATCATAGGTAAATACACAATCTCGGTCCAAATCTGCATGATGTACTTTGGCGACACTTTGCCGTTAGGCAATGCCTGAGCAATTCTCGCGAATCGCCATTGCTAAGACCACTTTCGTTAAAATCTCAATATGCAGTTCCTCGTCTTCTCGTTACGTAGCTCTTTAGAATCTTTTAAAGGATCTTACTAAATTGCGTTTATTTAGTGGGAGACGTCTAAAAGCTCCCGGAATTTTAGTGAATCAATCATCGACGTCACTGTCTAATCCCATCACATCATCATAATGTAATATTCTGTCAGGTTCCTCATCATCCTCTTTATCGTCAGCTTCGTCACTCTCGCTGCTGTTCTAAGAGCAATTATTGCCTTCGGCGTCTTCTTCCTCTGATACTCCCGGTATTTGCTAAAAAGTGCTGGACGCCCTGGTGAGATTGTGAGAACGGCTCATTGCCTAAGTCTCCCTTCTATCATGGCTTCTTGAAGTGATCGCACCCAACACTGTTGTATTTGCTTTATCACGTTTCTACACAGAGCAGTCTCCCTTATCCTTTGGATTGCCCAATTGGGAAGTTACCCGATTACTCAAAAAGCACAGTTCTCGTTCTCTGTGACACTCGCAAATACTCGCCCCTTCGATGGACGTGAAGCAAGACGTTTTAGCTTGGCTTTTTCTTGGGTTTTGGCAGGCATCTAAATGTCGTCTGACTAGCTTCATTCTTATGTCAGGAGTGTCATTTATGCGCTTACGTACCTTGGCCCTCGTCTTAAGCTCGAAATGCTCACAATTGTTTTTAGCGATTTTGACCCCTCTTCCTCAGTTCTTAGAAGATTGTAACGAAGTAATGATACCTTTTTCTTCGTCGACGTCGTTGACGTAGTTAGCGTAGCCATCCTGATCTTCATGATGTCAAATAGCTACATTTGAACTCTATCACTAAAGACATGTGTTTCCATTCCTGTGTGACCAGTCTATGGTTCTTGATGCGGTGATGGATGCAGTGATTGATGCGGTGTATGTAATGTTTTGTTTTTAGAGAATGGGAAATGCGTAAAGTCGGGTTAGGTTTAGGGTTCAGAATTCTCTTGTCTTCGCCGGATGGGACAGTTGAGAGTTTAACCCTATACTCACGCTGATCGCATACTAACACTTTTCTTATCCTTGCGTGTTTTTGGTGCGATACTGCTTGTTACTTGAAAAATATTTTTCTGCAGTAATAAGTGCATCCATATGATTTATTGTATTCGAGTGTATGACTAATTCAATTCAATGATGGTACGGTATAGTCGGTAGCCGGTGTGCGCGGAACACGCTAAGAGGGCTTACCATTCTGTTTTCCCCGTGTCATTTCTATTGATCTATGTATTAGTTATTGGTTGCTTCTGTCACCGGATTGGTCTGTTTAACATATTCGCGGCTGAGTGTTTGTCAGCGTCATCTGTCCCATTGTTTTTGCTTATAACAGGATATTAAAAAATAATAAAGGCAAAGTAAATTTCGTCATTGGTGCACGAAAGAATGCATATTTTTTATTTTGGCCGTCGCTGAGCATTTCATATCAGCGAAATCAACAAAAATCGGGTTAAACAACACAGTCGACCTTTATTTTCTCGTTGTTTTGTAATCAACCTCATCTAATATTCTGTAGGCTACTATTGGTCTAGCTTTTGAGGTTTTAGTATTTATTCATAGTCTTTGTTTTTAAATCATCTTAAATCATCTTAGCCAATCAGCCTCTCCAAGAAATATAGGACCACGGAGAAACGTTTCGCCAGAATAATTAGAAAATACATTACAGTCTACGCGGAATATCGAGACACTTACAATAGAAATCCAATCTGCTCGTGCCTCTATTTGTGATCCGCCTGCGCCTCCGAAGTCAAAGACGATCTTTGAGAATTGTAAATAAAGTGAAACTGAATATTCGGAAGTCATTAAAATTTTATTGTATTGCTTGAAGGTAGTGAGCTGGTGGCCGATGATATGATACATCGATTGCCGATTTAATTATTCCCGATCACTTGACAAAATGAGTTTACACCTTAATGATAGGCCCGGAAGCTTTATCCTTTGTATGTGTGAGAGATCTAATACAGGTCTCTGCGAACAAAGAACCATCGGCCGCTTCCAATCCCATCATTGATATATAAATCCTGCGGATCAACCGACTTCATATTGCGCGTGTCTGCATGTAAGTTTGATTTAGCCATAAAGCAGCAGCTTCAGTAGCTCGGGTGTCGCGCCCATTGCGATTACCAGAGATAGCATGTCATCGGATACCGTTGTCATCGCTATCCATATTTACTATATAGTGAGAAGTGATGCAAAAACCCAAATGAGTGTTTTGCAGGGGATCCACATGGCTTCCTCATGACGGCCTATGATATTATCTTAATGTACATTTGCTAAGTGAGAGGTTACCTTTCTTTTTTTTGCCTATTTTATCGGTGTACTGCATACACTAAATACATCATGTTCGACGTATAGGCCTGTTAGCTCTAGGTCTGTATTGTATATATTGGGGTGATACACGCGCCCCACACCACAAGCAAATTCAACCCCGAGCACTCGCTTTCTATATATATATATATATATTGAGGCACAGACAGTGGTGTGACACGAGACTTATCGTGGTTTACAGAAGGTACGGACACACAATATAGTACGGACAACCCGTTTGCTCTAGTACGCATATACTAGCCTTCGTATTCCAGACTTCGTATTCCTGCCCTCGTTCAGGACACCTCCTAGTGTCCTGGCGACCATTAAAGCATGCACTCACCTGTGGCTTGCTGTACCATAGCATCAAACCCTTCTGCGTCATGGAATAGACCCCCCGAAAGACCCAAGGAAGCCTCACCAATGGCCGCCTCCCCATCGCCTACACCCATTGCCCACACATCCTCCACAGTCTCAATTCCACTAGGTGCTGTGTGCACGTCAACGTCCATAACTGAGTAAAAACGAAGAATAGTAAAATCAGATACATTGGTGGAAGTTAATAGACAAATACGACTTGTGCACGGCTCGCAATAGTTTGTTAGTGGAACTACACAAGCCACGGCGTTATCGTATATTTTGTTATACATGTGTCACAAGGGTATCGTCATATAGGAACAGGCATTGTCCACAGACAAGCTTAGAAAAACAAAATACAATGCAATCAATCATATACACAGATATGCTCACCATGTTGTCAAAGTTTATGCTCGTGTGTTTTACTAATGATATTCAAAAAGATAGCATAATGGATGTAGGAGATGCAGAAACATGATGAAAATCTTGAACAACCAACATGCAAAAAGCGCACTCTACACACACGCAAAAACACAATTGATCTAGATGGACCCATAGTGGAAATCTGTACGCATATATACTCAAAGTTCTCCGGCATGTGCAGTACATACCTTTGGGAAAGGCGTCGGTATCGACAGTCACATGCAGGTCAGTCGCCATTGCGTGGTCGTCTCCGATATCCGACACGACAGCGTTAACACCAGCATCACCCTGTGCAGTGAGTGCCTTCCCCACACTCGCCTCTACACGCGTGTCTGGGTCGCCGCCTGCATCAGTATCCGCGCGGGTGCTCGTGCCCCCCCCTTCAACGTGCTTGTGCGTGCTTATATCGTTGCCTGTCTCCGTGTTGTCCGTTTGTGTGTCCTTCCCTCTATCCCTCTGCGGGCTGGTCGTGTGGTCGGTGTCACGTGTAGTTTCACTGTCGCTGTCACTGTCGCAATCGCTGTGGTCACTGTTGTCACTGTTGTCACTGCCCTCTTGTTCGTTGTCCACTTCTTCGTCGTCGTCTGAGTCGTTGGATGAAGAGCATTGTACCGAACTGTCCTTAGAGGTCTTTGCGGGGCCATCGGTGTCAGAGTCGCCCTATGCAATTGGGATGGCAAACGGGTTGCCCTGGTTATTAACGTCATTCCATATACTATCATAGTACACCCACAACCGGCTGGATACGATCCAAGCCCACCTCCAAAACCCCTGTGACGGGAAAGGCAATAATAAAAAGAAAGGACACTGCACTGATGTGCACGCATACTATTTATAGAAAACAAAACCCTAGTAGATAGGCCATACCCAAGCGTTGGTGCGACAACCCCCTCAAATACTAACACACGGTTGAAGGCCCACATAAGCTTTTCCGAGGCACAGGACAATACTTGACACGAGCGCTTGGATTTCTACAAGCACAGACCCTAGCTAAACCCTAAACCCTAAAACTTGAATGCGCCCGTCTCTTTACCTCGTCGTCATTTGCGCTTTCATTCTCATCGGCGCTGTCATTGTTGTCGTCACTCGATGATTCACTGCCACTGCCTTTGCCACTGCCACTGCCACTCCCGTCTTCACTGGACGAATCATTGTCTGAGGCAATGTAAAGTGGTCATTTAACTATTACTACTTGTACTTGGTAGATCTTGTAATGATAGTAATCATTATCTGAGTAAAGATGGAGTGAGTGACAATTTGACCGTTACCACTTATACTTGGTAGGTCCTACAATGTCAGTAATCATTGTCTGAGGAAGTGTGGAGTGAGTGGTCATTCAACTATTACTACTTAAACTTGGTAGATCTTGAAATACTAGTCCAGATAGATGATAACCGCAGCGTGAGAGGGCCATTGGCTTTACAGACGTAGACTTATCATCTCAGTCCAGCTCAACTTGTCAGAGAAATTCAATACATATCAGAACAACGAGTGGTGTTTTGGTCTCAAAGGAAGTGTGAAGTATGGCGAGCAGTCATTTCAATTGGCCATCACAGTTTGACGGTGATGGACCGTGGGTGTTGCGTACAAGCAGTATTCCTGCCATTAACCAGGACGGGTAATTAATGCGCGTATACGTCCATGAATATATAAATATATATGTGGATGAACGTATACGTATACGTACGTATGTGTGGATGAACGTATATCTAGATATGGAACGTATATATATATACATATATAAACATATATATATATATATATATGTGTGTGTGTATGTGTGTGTATGTATATATGTGTGTATATATGAGCATGAACGCATATGTATATATACGTTCGTGTCAATGAACGTATGTGTCTAGAATATGAAGTATGTACGCATCTATATATATATATATGTGTGTGTGTGTGTGTATACGGTTATGTGTAAGCGTTTATCATACGTGTGCATGGATTGGGTATTTGTGAGCTTACCCTGGTTGTTGTCGTCGTCGTTGTCGCTGTCGTTGTCCTCTTTTTTACCACTGCCCTCAATCGGTCCGTTTTCATCCCCACTTCCCTTGCTCTGTATACTAAGCCTTCTCTCTCGTGTGTCTTCATTCGCCTCAATTGGCATTTCATCAGTGTGAGTTCGGCTCTGGTTGGCCTTGTCCTTGAAGTCAGGCGCGTTCTCGTCGCTGTTGTTGCGTTTGCGGTTGTGGTCTGTGTCTGTGTTTGAGCGGGCGTTGAGGACTGAATTTGTACGACATATGCGAATGCGTCCTACCACGTCATAAACAAGTCGATATACTGATATATGTACGCATAGTATATCCAAACAAACACATAAATACATAATACACGCACACTCTCCAATGTATACACAAATAAACACATACATCAACACACTCACCCCAACAAAGACACAAGAAAAACACATCATACACACACTCACCGTAACATATATACACATGAACATATATGCACGCACTCTCTCCAACATGTACGCACATAAACACATATATGCACACTCTCTCTCCAGCACATACACACATACACATACATACACACTCTCCCTCCAGCACATACACACATACACACACTCTCTCTCTCCAGCACATAAACTCATACACATGCATACACACACTCTCTCCTGCACATACACACATACACATACATACACACACTCTCTCCTGCAATACACACCCCGTTCGAGAAACTACACCCGCACACACCTCTGCCATCCGCCCCCCCCCCCTCATCCACCTTATCGTCATCACCCCCACTATCGTCGCTGGTGTCCATATCCACAGCCCCAGGTGCCCTGTCCTCTCCATTGCGCCTGTGGGCTCTCTCGTCCTCCATGCACCCCAACGGATCGTCGCTCTCCAAGTCCTCTGGGCGTTCGGTGCAGGTGAGTGCATCGTGGCGTGCTTTGAGCTCGAGGCTGAGACGTTCCGCGTTCTTCTCTGCGGTGAGTTCGGCGGTTGTCTTTGCGCCCAAAGGGTTGTCCGGGGCGCTGGTGATGGGGACAATCTGGGCGAAAACGGGTGCAAATCAGTCCATAAATAGAAACACAGGGTAAGACAACAGGTACAAGGCAGTCCATAAATGGAAACACAAGGAATGACAACGGGTACAAGGGGATGCCATGCTACATTCATGCAACGTTACATATAGTTACCTCTACACCACTTATGCTTACCATAGCAGCCTCACTGCACCACATGATCACCATAGCAACCTCATTAAACCATTTATGCCTACCATGGCAACTTCACAACACCACTTATGCTTGCCATAGCAACCTCACTACACCACTTATGATTACCATAGCAACCTCACTACACCACTTATGATTACCATAGCAACCTCACTGCACCACATGATCACCATAGCAACCTCATTAAACCATTTATGCTTGCCACAGCAACCTCATTACACCACTTATGATTACCATAGCAACCTCACTATACTACTTATGTTTACCATAGCAACCTCGCTAGCCGCGCCTGCATTCGTCTCGTTCGTCCCGGTAACGTTGTGTGCACTGATCTTCGCACCCGCAGGTGTCGTGCCGCTCTGATGGGCGTTGTCATGGATATCGTTACCAAGGGAACCAGTCGCGCCTTGGGCACCACTGGCTTGCACCGCCTTCGGTCGGCCGGGCGACTGCTTCTTGTGTTTCTCTTTGTCTGTGCTCTTGTTGGCTGCTTGCCCCTTGTCCCCTTTGATTTTGTCCAGGGCCGTTTGGCCCATTTCTTTGGGTTTTGAGGTGCGGCGCACTACGGCGGCCTTGGCCCGGGTGGACTGTGCGGTCTTGAGTGCCCCCTTGAGGAAGTCACCAATCACCTTGCACACCTCCTGTAACCAGCAGAACGGCTTGTTCAGCGAATGGGCGCTAGCGAGTACGTGCAACGCAAACGACGCTGCAGATATTTAAATCACATAGATACAGCATGCCCACATACAAAACGTATACGCTCTGACTAAGTTGATAATAATCCGTGCTGAGGCTACCCAAGACGCTTCAGATATTTAAATCACATAGATACGGCATGCCCACATACAAAACGTATACGCTCTGACTAAGTTGATAATAATCCGTTCTGAGGCTACCATAAGACGCTATAGATATTTAAACAGATATTTAAATCACATAGATACGGCATGCCCACATATAAAACGTATACGCTCTGACTAAGTTGATAATAATCCGTGCTGAGGCTACCACAAGACGCTACAGATATTTAAATCACATAGATACTGCATGCCCACATACAAAACGTATACGCTCTGACTATGTATTTAAATCACGTACATACGGCATGAGCGCAACGATTATACAAATACAACATACGAGGTCACAGACAATCTGTGTTCGGCCCATTCTCCGTGAATGTGTGGTGGCCAACAGCGCATCATCCGCCCCTGTCATGCAAAGACGAAGGCAAAGACGGATAAGAGGCATATCATTGTAGTACCGAACATGAAAGTGGAATGGTGCAGCAACGGAGAGCGCGTACACACGGGTGAAAGACCATAAAAGCGTGAGTATCAGACGCGGAGGTGTAGGACTGAGTGGTGTGTTGCAAACTAGCATACATACGTGTGAGAAACCATTCAAACGAACAGAGATCGTACGGCTGAATATGCTCATGCATTTTGGTGTTAATTATAGCACATGCAGATACGAAAATTGATACCATGCTCTAAGCAACCATCTATAAATAGACACTAGAGCATGCGTCTATAAATAGACACTATACCATGCGTCTATAAATAGACACTAGAGCATGCGTCTATATATAGACACTAGAGCATGCGTCTATAAACAGACACTAGAGCATGCGTCTATAAATAGACACTATACCATGCGTCTATAAATAGACACTAGAGCATGCGTCTATAAACAGACACTAGAGCATGCGGCTATTAATAGACACAAGAGCATGCGTCTACAAACAGACACTAGAGCATGCGTCTATAAATAGACCACATAGTCATACCTAATAGCACATGGAACTTGCTGTGCACAGGGCTTTTGCCTGTCTTCCACATTCGGTGCACCTCTAGTGCAGGTTTGGCGTTCGACAGCTCGCCGTAGATCTGCAATGTAGGTACGCCGCGTGGAACAGGCCACTACAGGCAGGGACGCATGAGGTGGGATGGGTATGTATATGGTAAACGCCATGCAGAAAATATTTGCAAGTCTGTATATCCATAAATGTTCTAAAAACACCATAAATTTCGGGACGAATCAAACGCATATATATATATATATATGTATATAGATATACATATATGTATTTTTAAAAATTGG